TCTTTTATGTATCAAAGATTGGTACCGTGTTTTTGGTCCTTTGTATAGGACCGACGCTATGCCTGATACTAAGATGCCCATTGTGATAGATTAGTTCCTTTCAAATTTGTATCTTTTTTGTTGTTTTCTTCCTTTATAAGCCTTTGCAAAGCACACGTATAGCCTGTTGTCTGAACCACTATATCCGTCGGATATCCGTCGGTTACTTTTTTTTCTTACTTTGTCGCCCGACCCCCGAACCGACGGATTATCCGGTCTGGGGGGGTTTCTCTCACCTCAGCCGACATCCGGACCCGTCGGGTCCCCGGCGGAGCATCCGACGGATCTGGATGTCGGGGCTCGCCTTGAATACGTACCTTCACCAAACATCATCATATCAACACCACCGCTACCTTGCTCTGCGATCGATCACGTCATTCCACACCCTCGCTGAACTCATCCATCAAGTTCTTATTATCTTACCAACACCAACCTGCGATCAATCCACTCCAACGTATGTATTCGTCTTCATATTTCTTTGCTGAACACCAACGCGAGTTCGCTGACCCCACCAAAAACCTTCTGCCTCCAACCGTTCAATTTTCCATCTAGAAGCTGCCTCTTGTCGCCCTCTCTGTGTTACAATCATGCTCCTTGTCGAATTCGCCACTCGGCTCAACGATCACCATCCTCAACTGGCAAAGATTCTCACTCTTCCTAACCTAATTCATTTCGTCAATCTTGCTAGCGAGGTCTATCAGCGAGCCAACAAAGCCCTCAAATTGTCTTCTGTTGACACTCGAATCATACCCTTCCTACATCTTGCCTTGTCGCTCCCGATTGAAATTGGTGATTATGAAGCCCTTTGGAACCTCACGTTTGCTTCGCTACCCGCCGCTCACAACGATCCAGTCGCCCTAATCCGGACGCACGGCCTGGACCCAAGTTTAAAGCCAAAGGTATACGAAAAATACTTCATTCCCCCTATCTCTCAATGCTTCAAGTGTAACCGCCGTTCTGCGCACAGCCTTGTCCAACGACCTCGCAGGAATGGCTATCTGTACGATCTGGATGGCATCCATTCTGCTGAGTTTCACACCTGGGCTTGTTTAGGTCTGCTCTCCAAGCATCTCTTTAATACGACACTATGAACTGAAAACTAATCTCTTTGCAAGTGCAGATTGCAAAACCTACTACCGCCCGTCGTATTATACACACGAAAAGGTCAGGCATTACTACACTCCAGATCAGGGAATGGACCCGCTTCACTACCAGGTGCATTGTCACTTTGGGTTCTCTCATCGACTTGCCCAAGCCTTCTGGCAATCCCAGATGCTGGGCCAGTAAGTTCCACTGCGATAATCCCCACATGTCGTGCAACTGGCTGAAACTTCTCCCATTCTGAAGTACATCTCATTTCAACCTAGTCAACCTTTTCAACCTTACGTACTTTAATGGTCAGCAAGTGCCCAAGCACCCAGAAGCCGTCTCGATATCACCTAAGATATCGCAAGAACTGGTTCGCGATGCGCTGGACCTCTTCAGTTTGCTCAGACGTTCTCACCGCCGCCGGGCTATTTTACTTCTTCCTGCACACGGCGAACAAGAAGACCGCTTGATCCCTGGGATGGACCGAGAGCTACACCACGTGGCTAATCATGGGTCCGCACATCGAAACCACTTCTGTTCTTTATGTCTCAAAACGACGGAAGTTGAGCATGAAGGACAAAAGCGAACAATGGGTAAGTACCCCTTTTCTACTAGTAACTTCAGGGCCAATCAATGCTATTTCAATTGGTTCAAGACTGACATCAATTGTTTTGGGGTTTCAAGGGATCCGGGCCGTAGTGACTGATGGACTTACTATTGGTCATTGGCGTTGCACTGCTTCATCAGTTCAACTGGAAGAACTTGCCCATCGCGCTGGAGCTCCGCCACCAAACGGTCCCTGCCTAAACCCACTTCCAACGGTTACTTTGAGGTTCTGTTTCGAGCATGCACAGACGTTGAGCGGGTGGTGCGTTGCACAACCTTGCACTGCCCTCGCCGCGCCAGATTCCCAAACGTGTCTGAAACAAGAACATGTAGATGCAATGGCTGCTTTCCAAGTCCGCAAGAAGAAGCACTTTAATCTCAAATCGATGCTCAATCGGCCCGGATCGAATCTGCCATTCAATCCTTCTGTGAACCTCAACCCCGACACCTTGGAAATAATTGACTTGGACAACCTCCACCAGGCTGATGAGGCCGATAGGGCCCATGAAGCTGCCCGCGACGGTGGCATTGCAAAACCCAAAGGCACACCATGCTTGAGTCGTAGTCGGACCCATAACGACCAACTTATTGTGGGGGCCTGTGGGATTATCTTGTCAAGGCAAACGTTTTACAATTCAGAGGCACCTAGTGCTCTGCGGGTAAGATTTCTCTCTCTTCAACAGTTAATGCCGATCATGATCTGTCTGGCTTATCTCTGTCAATCTCCGCAGGACTATCTGGTCGACACCTTCCCGGACGGACTACCAGAGGTCATATTCTACGACAATGCGTGCAATTTACTTCGTGTCATTCACAATGGCGACACCGACCCTGCACCATTCAATAACACCATTATACCCGTCGACCCTTTCCATCATCGCGCCCACGCAGAGAGCGATGAGTTTTGCCGCATGTACAACGACCCGAAACTTTTTCCTGACTTACAAGAAAATGGAGCATGGATATTCAACTCTTCCGCTGGGGAATTGAGTAATATCTGGTACGGTGGCTTCGCATCGATGTGTCGCAACATGCAAGGCATAAGGTATGAATTCTTCCTTGACGAAATGGTGGAGTATCGCAACGAGTGGCTAAGTGCTGCGTTGGCATGTCGTGAGACGGTTACACTTATTGGAATCGGCAAATTGAAGACTTGTGTAAGTGCAATGGTTATTCTTTCTTGACTACGGTTTCCTATCATTTGTAGTCAACAAAGATTTGCCAATCTCTTTGTTTGATGGGGCGTGTTCTTTTTTCTTGCGCTCTATCTAGGTTTGATTATTTCGCCTGGACAACACGTAGATTCATTGGGTGTTTATCTTTGAATGACTGGTTCTAATCTCAAAAAAGCAGACCGACCCCCAGTCATGGCAGTTTGTAGCTTTGGATGAGAAATACTAGACTGGATTGCAAAATGGAAGAGCAAAATGAGAGGTCATGAGAGGGAGCCCTGTTTGAGCTTATCTTGTAAGGTCTTAATGACTGTTGGACTCGTATTATGTGATGAAAACATTTTTAAAAATGTTTTCCATTAAATTCACCTGAGCACGTTCTTTAGTAATTTACAAATGACTGTTTAACTTATATTATGTGATGCCCACATTTTTAAAATTGTTTCCCATTAAATTCACCTGAGTACTTTCTTTAGTAAATTACAAAGTGTTAAAATAAGCGAAACTAGCACCTCACTTGCGAGAAGATTATATGTGAATAATAACGGTATCTGTCTGATCATGTAACCGCAGGGCACTACCAAGCGGTCCTAGTGTAATGGTGAAAAGCCATCGTTTGCAAATGGGAAAGACGCCAATCTGGTTGAACACTTTTATGAACTGATGCGGTAGAATTCTTTTGCCGGTCATCTTACTAACATCATGTATTTATCATATATACACTGAAGAAGTGTATGAATGATGTTCTCGCACCAGTACACAAATATCTCAATCAAACCAGAACACAAACTGTTTGCTTACTGGTTTTTGATGGCATTCACAAACAACAAAGGTACACTGCAAATAATTACAAAATTATCCACCGCCCCCATTCTCTATATCCACAGAGAAACAAGTGGTACTAGGTCTAAGCCAAAAAAAACTAACAAACATCGCAGCTCTACAGCATAGCAGATATCTAAACAGGTTTGAGCGGATAGAGAAGAGATTTAATAACGCCTGCCTGCCAAATGCCAGATGTGCTATGAACATACTGAAAAAGAAAAAGATCATGCAGCCTAAGAAGAGGAGGATACAAGTGCACGTAGACCAAGACGTTTACAAAGGCTTTGGCATCGATGTTCTTTTTCAAAGTGACCGATCAGGCTTGGGCTGTAAGATGCCCACCAGGGGAATCTGAAAAGAGATAGTGATGTGCGTGGTGAGTACAATTTGTTGAAGTTAGACTGCAATAAAGAGAGATGGCTGACTTGCGATCCACCATCATAGAATCAAAGATAACATCTCCTTCGGCATGAAAAGCATGTATCACTGCAGTTCGGTTGTGATATTCGTAGGTAAAGTGAGTGAAGGCATAAAGGAAATCGACGAGGGTGTTTCCTTCTTGTATTGGAGGTAGGTAATCGGTGTCTGGTATGCGTGTCAAGGATTCGCGGGATATCACCTCTTGTATGGTGTATGCTTGATTATCTTGCAAAAGTACGTGGTTTTCCAGCACCTGTAGCAACCCTGGGCCAGCAACGCAGGTGTTGCGTGTTGCGCTGCGCCTGCGTTGCGGTTTTTCTGACCGCAGCGCAACATAGAATCAAATTCTAGGTTGCGGCCTGACCCGCAGCGCAACATCATTTGTCAAATCGATGGATTTTTTGGGCCGCAACAACATTTGTTGCGTTGCTGCCCAAAAAAAATCACAGTTCGGTGTTTTTTTGGCGCTGTTGCGCCTGTTGCGTTGCGCGACGGTCAAGGCGCCGCGCAACCTGACCTCACCATCTGTTGTTGCGGTACTTACCGCAGCGCAGCATGTAATGCAGGTTTGTGCTGCGTGTTGCGGAGCAACGCACCAAAAAACACTTGTGTTGCGGTGTGTTGCGTTGCTGGCACAGGGTTGCCTGTAGGTAGGTTCGGAAAACATATCAATTGCGGGGAAAAGATTTCTAATGTATTAATTGCAAACTAACCCGAACTGAGGAGACCTTTTCAAGCTCGCAGACGGTCAGCTGATTGGCATAAGTCGTCATCTTATTTTTGAAGTGCTCCAACAAAAGCAAGGTGTAACAATGCTGTTGGTTGATACACTGGTAATGGGCTATAGGTTGAAGGCGGTTGCACTTTCGCACTTGAACGGGCAAGTCTATCTCGTTTGGTTGTCGGATCACAGCGGGGTAAGTTGTTTGGAAGTCCCAATAGGAGTTGGGGACTTCATTGTTTAAATCAATGACAACGTTGACGGGGTTAGAATTGCAAACATAAACGGATCGGCCTGCATGGTTCACTGAAAGAATCATATCGTGGTTCCCTGGATTTGAGTTATAAGGCAGCGCCGCTTGACCAAGGTTTGCTCGGGTTTTACAGGTGGCCCTGGCCAGGTGCACTGGCACTATTATATCAGAATGAATTAAAGTGAGTATAAGTTATCGTACACACATATTATGTTGGAGTAAATAACACACCGATAGGTAAAATTTCTGGTCGTGGAGTAAACTGTCGCGCAGAGAGCACTGAGCCTGGAATTTGTTTGTTTGCGTTATTCAAGCTAACCATCAAGTGTGTTTGATTTAGAAATAACTTACGCTGAAGGATCCGTCTATCACGCTCAGAAGAGGTTGCGCGGCAGCTATAGTAATTCATGGTGTTGATGTGGGTTTTGGTATATGATTGAAAGGAGACTAGTAAGTGATAATGTACACAATGCGAGCAAGGAAATGAATACTTTAGCTTCCAACCAGATAGATTCCTTATTTTAAGTGGATCCGATACACTCAATATCCCAAATGTTACATTACGTTGCCACTTCCATTTGCCCCGGTGAACGGGGTTAGTCAAGGCATTGTTTGGATTTCATTTTGAGCGCACCACACACACATCGGGCTATGGACAAGCGACACAAAGCAGGGCACTGAATTAAAACAAACAGAACAGATGAAAACGCCATGGCAGTGCCACGTTAACATGAGGTTTGCAGCAGTGCCACATGGGATCAGTGAGAGGTTTTAAAGGGGGGTGTTGGGTGGTTCAGGGTGCGTGATACCCTTAGATGGGGTTTGGTGGAAGATCGTCATTGTCATCGCTTGGTTGAGAATCGTCTTCGTCTTCAATTGCCTCGGGCTTATCACCAAAACCGCAAACAATATTGTATTCCAACTGGAAATGAGGTCGGGTTACCGCCACGGTGAGGGTTTCCTTGGTGTTTGTACCATCACCCGGCCAGGTTTGAACAAAGAGGTTCATCCTTTCATAACCTACTAAATCCACCCATGCAGCGTACCGATATACGGTTTTTTGTTTGAACACATAATGGGTTCCATAACGCTTCTTCCATTTTTGGATTCGAGCTCTCCGAATTGGGGGAACGCCAGCACTTCGATACCAAGCCAGTAATGATGAGATGAGGACATCATTCCCGGGCCACTCTTGTAAATTCGTAGGCAATGCAGCTGGAGGGTGAAGTAAAGTCGTAGGCAATGCCGGTTGACGGTGAATGTCTGGCTTCACGTCGAGCTGCAACGGGGGGCCAGGCCCATCATTAGATATCGCTGCCCAATTACGAAATGAGACTGCAAACTGGTTACTTACCTCATCACCAAAAAGGCCAGGGCTGACGTTGCTGAACGCAGGCGGGCTAGATGGCTGTGTGCTTGTGACCGTGGATGGTTGTTGAGAATGTTGGGTGCTGTCGTCATCTGTGTCTGTGTCTTCGGTCAGATCGATACAAATGGGTGCAGCACAGGAGCCACCAAGGCCTGTTGTCGTGGTCGGAGCAGTTTGGACTGGATCTGAAGACCCCTTTCTGGAAGTCGACATCAAAGGAGTTGAAGCGTGGTTCGTGATACTGGTGTCTAGATCGGGGTTTAATTTGGGTACCAGCGGTTTACCCAAGCCCAGTCTTTCCAGGGTATCTTTGAGCTCGATGGTGAGGGTCAAACGCTCGTGGGGCAAACAAATGACAATGTTTCGTGATGTGTGGGTGTAGGTGTGAGGGACAGAAACACCTATCTCACGCTGATTTGACATTCATTGAGGTACTTCAGTGATTGTCATAGCATAGTGGGTTTCAAAAAAAAGGTTCTCTTACCCAGTTCCGGATTTCTTCGTCCCATACCACTAGATTTCCATTCCATTCCGCGCCAGCTGCCGCTTGAGCCTCTCGCAGGAGGCTTTGAGAAGTATTCAGCACGGCGACAGGCCCAACACAAAAACCGAACCGCAGGGAAATACGGCCCGCGGTGCGGTGCGGTACGGTCTGGGGACCGTAGGCTGCGGTCCGATTGGCTACGGTCCCACCTCACCGCAGTGTGGTAAACCTGGAAGGAATATGGGTGGGTACCGTACCGCTGCTCACCATTTTGTATGTAATACTCACCGTAGTCCGGAGTGGCCTACGGTCACTACGGTCCTTTTTGTACTCTTCTCACATTCTCAATCCAGCTATCTGTGGTTGCTCCTAATTGCCCGTTTCATCGTTTCCAGCCTATCAATCCCAATTCGGATTCCCTAGTTTGGCTCTGCAACATGTCCAAGCAAGGGATAAGCATGTCTTCCCCTCCCTTTCCTCCCATCATATCTTTGTTTTATCATCGCAATTATCCTTCATTCCCCATCTCCTTTCTCTTCTTTTTCTATCTTTTCCATATGCGTAGAAAACACCCCACAACCCAAGAGGTGGAATCTATGGCTTCTTTCATATCGTCTTCTGCCTCTCAACTTGCTGTACCTGCGACTCAATCTTCTCAATCCCAACCACGTACCCCGGCTCCATCTCGTCGCTCCACTCGTCCTAGCCCTGCTCGTCAAGATCCCAACTTTGTACCAACTTCAGCCAACTCGCGTCGATCATTGTATATGCCCAGTGAAGATGAAGATGAAACCGAAGGTGAAGGCAAAGGCGAAGGCGAACTCGAAGACAAGGATCTACCAGAAGAACAAGATGAACCTTCCGGAGAACCCTCTGCAGACCCTCATACACCGAACAGGTCGAAGAAGCGGCCAGCCAACGATAATGTACGATCTCAACGGCCGAAAAAGGTTCAAAAGAAAGACACGAAGAAACCACTGAGTCGGGCAAAGGTCACTGTAAGTACATGCTATCTTCACTTCAAACAAGACTTGATTGATGCTAACTTTAACTCTTTTCTCTTATCTTCTCAGGACTTTACTGTCCCAAAAGGCGTCGATGTCGACCAACGCAGTCCTGAAGCGCCTGTTGCCAAACCCTTCAGAACCCAAAGTAAAGCAGTTACGCACCTTCTGTCTTATTATAAACCGGTTCCGGTCCAGATGAAGGACGATGTAAGTCTTTCTCTATCTGTCATAACAGTGGCTGCTGTAACTGACGTATCTTTGCTTCCTAGCCCATTGGTGTTCTACGTGGATATGAATGTAAGTATTGTCCGGAGACGTTCACACGCGGTGTCGACGGAAACAGCAATCTCTACGGCCATCGAGACGGCGGCAAGTGTCGAATCCCTTGTTCCGGCCGTGCTGAAGCGATGAAACAGAAAGATCACGGACTTGGCCTGACCTATCAAGAACGGATGAAGGCACGAGAACGCGAGCATTCAACCAATGCATCCGCAACCAATTCATCATCAGCATTAATGAACTCATTTATGAACCGACCTCCATTCAGTGTTGATATCCTGAATGTGCTATTGGTCATCTGGCTCTTGCGTCATGCCCTCCCATGGGCTAGATTTCACGATCCAACACTCAGGGCCGCATTTCACCTCACTCACGCCAAGGCGGATCTCAGGAGCTCGACTTGGGCTGCCTCGACCGCAAAGGAGTTATATTTCTCAATGTATGATCAGCTATTAAGCAAGATCAAAGTAAGTTTTCTCATCTTGCCTGGTTTAAAACACAACCACTAATCATCGTTTTGATTTGAAACTATAGGATAACAAAAGCAAGATCTGCCTTGTCCACGATGGATGGACCACAAAGGGCAATCGCTTAGCTTTTATTGGAGTAACCGCGACATGGATCGATTCCAACTGGAAGTTCCAATCAAGCCATCTTACTCTGAAGTTGGTAACGTGGCATCACTGTGGTGTGTTGCTTGCCAGGCCAGTCGGGAAGTTCCTGATTAAACATGGACTTCACAAGAAAGTGCGTTCTTTTTTTTATTTCTATCTATCATTAAACTTTGACCGATGTCAATATCCAATAGGTATTAGCACAAACTACGGATTCGGGTGCCAACAACAAAACCATGGCGGACGAACTGGAGAAGATGTTCAAGAACTCGGATGAATCGATCTATTGGGATTCATCAGCAAATCATGTCAGATGCTACTGTCATAAACTCGCACTCGTTGTCAAGCACGGCCTCAAGACAATGAACATCCCAGCCGGTCACACAAAACCAACAACTCAACCGGGGGCAACTATTCCAGTACCCACCTTGGTCCTCAATACCGGTGAAGACGATGTGGAAGTTCAGACATCTGATTCATCAGATGAAGATGACGCAGGTTTAGTACCCACATCTAACAATCTCGATTGTGAAGATGACGATGGGAACGATGGTGAACCAAGTGACACAACCGAGATAGTCAAACGAGCATTATTGAAGGTCTGTATTTGATTTACATCTTCGATCTTTGTATCCTAGCGCTTACTTGATTGTATCTACTCCAGTGTGATAAGGTCATATCTTTGATCTGTTCGAGCTCTTCACGCCGGCAATGGTTTAACACGCGTGCCAAAAAACAAGGACTCAAAAGCATCATCCATGGATGGGGAGTAAGGTGGAATGCGAAAGCCGATAGCCGAAGGCGTGCGGCGGCTGGTCATGAGGTAAGCCACTTCAATTTGCTCTTCGGCGTGTATATAGTTATCTAACAGTTCTTGAATATGAACAATAGATTATCAATGGCATGTTGCACACGGACTCAAAAACAAATCGTTTCTTCCGAGGGTTAAGTATCACAGAAGAAGAATGGGACACAGTGCGCTCCGTGAACAAAGTGCTTGAGGTATGATCTTTTTTGCTTTTTATCTATTTTTGCTACACAACCTCTTCAATTGTTGAACAAAATATGATCCAGGTATTCGAGCGAGCCACTAAACGAATGGAAGGATACTTTCCGTCGGGTTGCAAAATATTATCCGAATATCGTAAGGTACAGTCCGAATTGCAGGTACTTCAACAAGGCAGTACATTTCCCAGCCTAGACACCATGATCACCGAAATGCTCAAGTATATCAAGCAGTACGCCAACGAGGCGGCGGAAACCGAGGTTGTACAAATGGCAACAATACTTAACCCTCGCCACAGATTGAACTATATCAACAAGTTCTACCCTGATGTCGCTGTTCAGGCAAGCGTATCAATCGATGCCATTTTCGATCAGTATGCTGAAGACATGCCAGCACCACGTGCACCTTCAGTTGAAGTTGTCGAGACCAATCAACCAAATGCGAGTGACGACGACGAGGATAACTTGTTTCCAGCTGCGCCTGCAACTGAAACTGTTCAGGATGTCAAACTGGAATTGAAACATTATCTCGAGGGTGCAAATCCAATTGGAAAAGGAACCAGTGCGCTTGATTGGTGGGCAGTGAGTACAAGTTTTGCCTTGAATGTCTCCTAATCACTATAATGTTTACTAATATTGCATTTGTTGATGCAGAGCAACGAAAAAAGTTTTCCAGTCTTAGCCACCATGGCTCGAGACTACTTATCTCTACCTGGCACTTCGTGCTCGGTGGAGCGGACCTTCTCGTCAGCTGCCGACATCGCAGTATCAAGCCGAGGCTCAATGAAGCCATCGACAGTCTCACAATCAGTTGCTTGCCAAGAATGGCTGAAGAACAAGGCAGTGCCTTCTGGGAAGTTCCAGGAAGCAGTGACCTACCTATTAGATCATGAGTTGCGAGAAGGAAAAAAGAAGGATAAACAGATTTGATGGTTGTTTTGTTTTATTCAATTTTCTTTTTTTTACAATAATTACTCTCTTTTAACTTGTTTCCGAATTCAAATTACAATCTTCTACTTTCTGTCTTTTATTTTACTCCCCCACTCATTTAATACGGCGCGCGATTGTGTTTTTCCTATCATTTAATTAAATTTTTATTCTCCTTGATTTTGAGCGTAGTGTACTCGTAGCCTACGGTGACTACGATGACTACGGTACGGTAGACTACGGTGTCACCGCACCGTAGTGTGGCCTTGTCAATAGTAGTACCCATGACTACACTACGGTTACGGTGAGGTTTCAGACTTAGACCGCACCGTACTGTAGCCGAGACCGTTTTCCACTGCGCTACGGTACGGTTTTTGTGTTGACAGGCCACTCGTTGAAATATTGGGATATAACTGGGTGGTTCGACATCTGAAGTATGATGTCAGTCAGTGATTTAACGGCGCTGGGGTTGCGTTGCGACATGAGACAAAGAGCATAAGTCTAACTTACTCGGGTGATAAGGTTAAGCGTAATAACTTTGGTATGATCGGTGACCTTAGGTTGATCGATTAGAGGTTTTGATTCCTTGCGCGATTGTTCGGCGGCGTAGTGGCGCGCGGTAGCCAGCAATGCTACTCCTTCATCATCAAACAGGTGACCGACTCGGCGAACGCTCTGGGCACACTGTGGCGGAAGGATTCTGCTTCGTTTTGCTGCGGGTAAGGGGGCTGGGGGTGCAATCCGTACTTGAGAGGTTGTCCCTTGCAGAGTCGCAATTGCAGGAATCTGTGCCGCTGGCGGAACCTGCTGTTCTTGGACTGGTTGTCCCTTGGGGCGATGAACGTAACAGCCTCCTGGAGGCGTGAATTGTTGACAACACTGCATATAGAGTACGTACAGAAATTCAGTTTCTGTATCTCGCTGTTGATCAAGGTTAACTTACAGATTTGCAATAGAGAGAAGTACATCCATTATGACCTGTCTTTTTGTGACTCTTAGCTGTTGGGCCTACATTAGGACGGGCACAGTCAACAGGTGGCGCAGTTTGATTCGGGCGGTTTGAGTTAGATGTCTTGCTCTTGTTCGGTGGGCTCGTTCGAGGGGCAACAGGCATCCCTTTAATGTTAACCGGGGGGCCGTGGGAAGAAGGATCAAAAGGTATAGGATACGTGGCACCGGCGTTGATGCACGCGATCTCGTGGCGGAGCTGGTTGAGCTTGAATGTTCGGACGTAATGCTTGGCGGTGGGGCACTAGGAAGGGAAGTAGAGCAACGTTAGGGGAGTGACATTAAGGACAAGTCCAAAAATGACCGAGGTTTGGTACCCACTACGACGTTGATTGTGTCCTG